CATATATATATATATATATATATACACATACATGATATATTGTTATAATATATACATTATTCTTTTTCATGTATGTGTAATATTCTATATCTTATGAGTGAAAATAAATTTATATTTAAAATTTTTTATTACGCGCTAGCCATAGTATACACTTATAACTAAAAGATAAAATTCTTCTGTCAATGCGGTTAATTTTGATGAAAACAATTTTAAAGATTATTGTCAAAAAAAAAACCTTTAAAATTCTTTTTATTAATCTATCAAAAAACTTTTTTCTTAATTAAATATATGTTGACAAAAATTGAAAAAATAATTAATATTATTAAAATAATATTAAACATACAATACATCTATGAAGATTTCTATATATATGTACATGTGTATATTATATTTATTTCTATGTATTAGAATCCTCCTAACTATATAATATTAGCATTATATCAAAAGATGATGACACATAACGAGTAATATGGTGAGTAATATGAAATATTTAATTATCATTTTTAAATCCTTTTAAATAAATACAAATTATAGTAAAAATTATTTGCCTCCATAATCATAATTTTCATATCAGGGATTACAATACATGAAATTAACGATTTCCGTATTGTACAATGGTGTCATTAATGCAATCGTTAGTATTTCTTTCTTGTCATTTAGTTCATACAAAGCCATAATCGGCAAAAAATTGATAAGCGTGATTTGCGTCAGTAAAAACCACAATTTTCAAATTATCGGGAAGTGCGAGCACAGTAAAATCCATGTTTCGTCGCGCAATATTATAACATGTAATATCATGCAGGCCGTGACGAACGCAGATATTCACGAAAACAAAGCGTCGCGTCGACATGATGACATCGTGAAATTGAGAGAGTCGTCTCGTGTTTTGCATTTTATCTACACAGGCGCTTTGCGATTTTACAATTATGAGAAATCGACGATGAAAATCATCGTAGGTATACTGTCTCGCCAAACTTTTACAATTTTTCTTACCTTTTCGGATCACTCATCGTTTAACTTTTTATCAACGTAGAGAAATACAAGTATGGACACTTGATGTCGGCACCTTTCGATCTGTGGCTGTGGCTGTGGCTAGTCCAGTTGTAGAAAGATAGCGCGAGACATTCCACTGGCAGGGCTTTCCGTGCGCATGCGTGAGTGACGTTAACGTCCACGTGACCAGCTTCAGCCTATTTGCAGTGCTTATGGCTCGTGCACACAGAGCGCGACAAGGCTTGCCGCGCGGCAAAAAACAACGAGATAACCAATCAATCTTTAGCTCTTATGAAAAAGTTATAAATTGATTGGCTATCGGATATCGGGTCGTCTTTTGCAGCGCAGCAAGCGTTGCCGCATTCCGTATGCAGATATAATCTATTAAAGGCTGGTTTATGCAGGCCGTAACTGTTAATTTATGCCGGAGTAAACCAGCCTTTAAATCAGCCTTTATTTGTGCGATATAATGTCTCTAAAAAAAAACCTATATTGCCTGATCATGTGGAACGTTCTAAAACTCATCAAAGAAAAGTGTTCGATATCTTTTTGCTGCCGAATGTGTATGGGACTTTAGTTTACGTCACGCATAGTCTACGTAGAACAAGAGGCCAAGAATATAAACACTTGTCAAATCGATTTGCAATGGCCGGAATTAAAGGTTATTTAGTGCACTCTTAAATCATTTAACGCGCGATTGCTACCGCACAAAATCTTTAAAAATGTCATCATTCCGTGAAGAATTTGCGCGAAAAGCGCAATATTAATTATCAAAACATAACCTCATCCGTTCCGCTGTTGTCACTGTTTGACATTTGCACAAACACGATTTTCTTAATTGTTAAGTTTCATAACTTAATTTAAGAGCAATGTATCGTTCTTTTAATATTGATTGGAAAAAGGTCTATTATGATTCCCTTAATGTATTAATACTAATTTCATCGAATGAAAGTTATAATCCAGGAAAGCTTTGCACAGAATCGTAATATTATTTCATCTATACTTGTGAACTTATTCATTTTTTAAAACACAGATCGTTTATTATTGCACGATAAATTTATCAGCACAGACATCTGAAAATCAAAACTAAACATGCAATAATACCTTATTCAATTATATTGTACATATATGAATTTAATTAGTGCTGTCTAATGTGTGATAATTATATATTTTTTCTTATTTCATGGCATTTTCTCTTCACGATTCGTTTATCCTCGAAACAGCGTAAGTATCTTTGTATAAGTAACTGGAAAAAAAAAATTTTTTTTTCTTACAATTTATATAAGAGAAATTCAATCAAAATTTCTTTTGATGTTTAACAAGAAAGAATTACATACAAGGATAACAAAGAAATATATAATTATTACAGATTAGTACTGCTAGCATTTGCTGGTTCTATTGGAATGACATTTGTCATTCTTGGCTGTGCATTACCAATATACAAGTAAGTATATTTTCCTATTTAACTGATTTGTCTTAAATATGCACAGCTTTCTTAAGATGTAATATATTACAACTTGTGTACAATTTTTAGAGTATGGTGGCCATTTTTTGTTGTTCTGTTCTATATATTGGCACCTATCCCAACCATAATAGCACGTCGTTATACAGATGATTCAGGAAGCAATAGTAATCCATGTTTAGAATTGGCAATATTTATTACAATGGGATTTGTGGTATCATCCTTTGCTCTTCCAATCGTGTTGGCACGATCTCCAGTGGACCAGCCTGTAGTATGTTATATTGTTCATATATATATATTATACAGAATATATATGTATATATATTTTTATATAGAATATTTATCACAATATTAACCTATTGTTGACTGAACATTTTACACAGAAACTTTGTATGATAAACTGTATGTCTCTCTAAACACGAGTGAATTCGTCACTGGTCGATAAGAAGAGCTGATACATCTCCAGTTAATAATTGTGTTAAAATAATTGCAACTCATTAAATGTTATTAATTGAGAGCAGATGAGTACTTCGGTTCTTTGAATAATTAAAACATAAAGACTTTATATTTACAGATACAATGGGGAGCTTGTTACTTGACATTAGCAGGTAATATTGTTGTGTATTCAACTCTAGTCGGATTTTTCATAACCTTTGATCAAGATGATACCGATTATAACATGTGGTGAGGCACTATTACATCGTACTTATAACAATAAAAATGTAAGTAATATATCAATTAGTTTTTATTCTGAAAAAAAACAATATATTTAAAACATATATACTAAAGTTGATATGACATTAAGTATCAATAAAATAAATTCATTATTTTTTAAAACCTCACTTGTTTATTCTCAAAATAAAAAGTTTGTTTTATATATAAGACTTGTGTAACTCATTAAGAATATATTACTCTTATTAATATATATCATAGTGTAAAATCCTTTCAGGTTTTTTATGAGATTAAAGGAAAAAATCAATCATGCGGTGCACTGACTGAAAGCTATATACTGATCATAAATTGCTATAAACTTATTATATACACAATTTATATAATATAAATCTAATATGGATACTCTTCTGTATTGATGCTGCAAGAAAAACATAGTATAGTGCACTAATAATAGAACGTGTCGATGACACTATGCTATTTGTTGATTGATAAACAAACATTGGAATTTCTCAGATTTTCCACATGTTACAAAATAGCAAGAAAGCATTTGGTGTTTTAGATTTTTCGTATGAGACTATTCAGGATAACCTGAAACGCAACAATGCGAGAATAATGAACATATTTTTTATTTAATCTAAGTCTTTCATAATAATAATAATGGTAATAAAGCTACAGTTTATTACTTCATCTTATCTTTTTAATCATACCTTTGAAAACTAGTCAAAAATGTTCCTGACACAAATTGGATATTTGTTTGGTATTATTTTAATTTCTACATATATATACTAATATATATATATATACTTTTTTTATTTTAAGTAAGCTTTACAAGCCACTACACATTATATATATACTAATAATAATAATAAAAAATAT